GCAATAAAATAGCATCATCTTTTATTCTTTTTCTTTCTTTTCTAGTTAGGGAACTAAAGTAACAAAGACTGAAGATTTTCTGTATAATTAAGGGGGGAAATCCATCAAATTAAAACCAACAATACTAAGATAAAAATCCAGAAGTAAACAATCGAATAAAAAAAATTCTAATTTTTTTCCAAATAATTTCATACTTTCTTCAAAATCAAACAAGGATAATAATTACTTTAGTAATGAATACCAATAATTACTAAATACATATCCAGAAAAGGAAGAAAACTGATTAATTTATCAATTACAGAAAATTGCAGATTACACAATTCTAACACTGATTTATACCCGATTATTAAAATTAAGATAGGGGTAGTAAAACGGAATTATTTAGCTAATCAACTAAAAACGACATAAATAAAGTATAAACTTACAGAATAAAATTCAAAAATGGTTGTATAGACTTGGAATCCCCGCTGACAAGGGCTTGGATCCAGTTGTGGGTGCAGGGGCTGCAATCGAAGCCCAAAGGTCGTCATCAGCTGATCCACCAAATTTCAGATTCATAGGCTTTGATGATGATTTCGGAACTGGAGCAGATATAGCACCCCAAGTGTCATTGTCGTCAACTATGCTTGTTTTTGAGTTTGAAGGTTTTGGAGCAGGGTTGGCTGTTGCAGAATAACTGTTCCCTATAGCACTCATAAAAATGACCACTTTGAATTAAATTTGCAATTATAGTTCTCAATCATGCATGTACATCACACAAGCAGATCTTCCTAATAGAAAATAATAAAACTACCTTTAAATTTTTTGTTTTCACTATCCATTGAAAGTGGTTTATCGGAGCCTCCTGACATATCTAGTTGCCTAGAACTAAGATGATTATTGCGCCCATGATTAATCCAACTAAGATGATGTGCAAGCATAGTCGCCCCCAACCCTCGGCCACTACGGTTTCTTGGGGGCACCGACCATGAAAAAGGGGGGAAGGGCTTCTCCATTAAGGTTTTTTCGGTCATGGAAGATTAAAGGGTTTTTTCAGTTTTTGGGAGTTGAGGAGGCGGGGGCTTCTTGTGTACATTTGATATGTTAAGGTCCTTGGCTGCAGTTTAAGGATTAGAGTTAAATTTTAAGTTTTAGCCCCTAAGGTTTTAAATAAATTCAAGTTGGACCTTAAGGTTGTGAGTTTTCCGTTAAACCAAGAAATTCCGTTAGTTTTTCCGTTAAACCAACAATTTCCGTTTGATAGGCACTTTTTATATAGAAGAGATGTTAGGTTAGATCCATTTTTGTATATAATGAAGATGAGTTTTAGTGTTTATTTGTTTTAATTCAATTGTTTGTTTAATTCTTGTGTTTATTGATTAATTTTGTATATTTATTGCATTATTTAATTGATTGTCCATTAATTAGATATTAATTATTTGTTGTAATATTGGGAGACTCACAATAAATTTAGAACGCTGCAAAATTAACATATGTGCAATAGAAATTAGAAATAACATTTATCACGTGTACAATCATATAGATAATCTAAACTTTAATTCATTCTAATCATTCAAATTCGGGATAGGAATAGATTCGGATCGTGGTTAAGATATATTTAATTAGTTTTGAAAAAGAAATTATATATCATTGCTTTATCGATTGTCAAAAATGTATGAACGGAATTAGATTATAAATCAAGTATTGAGATAAATAGCAATTCGCGGATTTGAAATCCAACACAATAA